TAGATGTTTGTTTGTACTTTGATATTCACATAGTGAAGTATTCTCCTAATTCTGTCTGTACACTAAATCTGTTTCTTTAAACTTCTTTGATTATCTGTTTTCGTATCTACTGGTCATGCCGTACCTCATGTCTAAAACATTATCTGTAATGGTGCACTCTTTTGGGTGTTGAAGTTTATATATCCAATGAAAGATGTTGCTTGCACTAGTCTTAAATGTTCAACTTCGATATGTGTTTAGGGAAGCTAACATGTGTACTGATTTCCTGGAGAATATGGGTCACAACCCCCCTTCTTTTGTCTGTCATCATCTGAAATGCTGGCCTTTTGGCCTGGGGATGTTCTTGTATGCTGATATGAATGGGACTGCGTTTCCCAAATTTTTGTGGAATTCTATTTTATTCATGAATGTTTTTGTCTCTTTTCACCAAAAAAAAAAGAAAATGATGTTGCTTGCAATGCTTTTTGATGTAGGAAGGCTTTCGAGACTCAGTACTTCTTGCCAGGAGACTAAAAAACATTAAAGAACTCAGAAATGTGATTAGAGAAGCCGCAGGCTTTTCTTATGGGTTTATATTTGTTGTCCTCTAAATTATATATTGTTATCACCATGCAAATTAATTTACCAAAAAGTAATGACTCTGTTTGCCATGATATTACATAGTTTTTGTATGGAAGGGGAAACAAACACTTAGAAAAATCAGAAGGTATTTTATAAAGACCTATTTGGTCTAACAAATATGAAATATTGATGCCCAAAATATGGCAAAAGTCGACTTAATAAATAATTCTAACCCAACTTGTTCATTTAAAATGAGTGGCATTTAAGAATTCTTGGCCTTTAAACTCATTTTACTTTATTCATTTGATGGCGTGACTTGTGTAGGTGAATAGATAACCCACAATATAACGAAACAAGTTAGTTCTCACCCCACTTCAGAGAGGTAACAGTGATTCAATTATCTTGTTTTAAGTGTAAAGAGGATACTTATACATATTTGAGTTCTTAGAAAAACTTCTTAAAATTAAAGTTAATTATCTTAATAATAACTATTCCAATATTTCTTTGCTAAAGATCTTATGTATTTCAACCAAATGTAAGCTTGGAACAATTGAACTATACTTGAGGCCATTTTGGCTAGCCATTACCTCGGACTTTTAGCTTGATCAACCTCCTTATCTTCATTATTTGGATAATGGTTCTTCTCAAACCTCTTTAATCCACTTTTGATTACTTCTTGTCTCCTGCTTGTCACTACTCCCAACCATATCTTTCTTTTTCATCACTGTCAAATCTTTTACCTCACTTTCTTCCCTTTTAGCACCAATATCTACTCATTGGGAACTTTGTTCTGCTTCATGCACCATCACTTTCTCCAGAATTAGGTTCCACGTCACACAGCTCACCATCACTTCCCCATACACATGGCAATCTCAAAAACACATTCCAACTCAACCTAGATGGCAGTATCATTAGACTCAAGAAAAGAATCGCAGATCAATATAAAATTTGATATAATTTATGTAAAATCTATCAATGGATCTACATTTAACATAATAAAGGGAACATAAACCAAACAAAGCTTAAATCAAATGTCCGCCACAACACCAATGTTAAAACGAACCAAACATTTCAAACAACCATCATATAAATGATAATAATTACACAGAAAATTATCGAACTTTGGAAAGAAAAAAAAAAAAAACAGAAAAAAGCAATGAACACTGATTTGAAACAAATAGCAGAAAAAAATTCAAACTTTTATCAATCATACAGCCCACAAAATTGAATTCCACATACTAAATCAACATAGAAAGGATGACGATGAAGATGAAGAGTGCCATCTTCAAGCTAAGAGAGA